TACTAGAGGCAGGAGACAGGAAACAGGATCTAGAGGAAGGGCTTCGTTTTTGAAGAAAGCAGCTGAAAATATGACTTCTATGATAGTGTTCTCTGAAGGGCCCCATTAACCTGCACTGGAGTGATCGGGGCAACAGGCAGGGTTTTGATACCTGCTGACAGTGGTACCTGGAGAAAGCGGGCTGGTCAGCTTCCAGACAAGGGCTTCAGCTGCCTGGGCACAATCAGAGACTGCCGAACGATGACAAACGATGGAAGGCCTCGATGCAGGAGGAGAAACATGCCAGAAAGAGAGACTAGGGCATGCTGGTGGTGGTGGTGTAGTGCTACAGCAAACACAGAATGAAATTAAATAAAGAAACCAGCTACGAACCATGAGTCCACATGGACTGAAATTACAAGCCAAAATATGAAGGCCATAGCATTGATCAAAATTAGCGCCTGTCTGCCAGGATGGCAAAGCGGACTGCACTATGCTAAAGGGTACCCGGGAGGAGAAAAGGGCAGCAAAGGTAAAGTCACTCATAATTTTCCCAATCTATATAGACCAGGCCATAAAGGCCAAACTAAGAGGTAATCTCCAAACTTAATCTTAGCTACTACCCGCTACTGTTTTATGGAACAGTGAGATGTAATCCCTGGCTTGGTCCTGAGTAAAATGCAAAACTGTTTTCAAATCCATACCAATGCAACTTAGCAGAAAACTCCTGTGGCTCCTCAACCAGGCATACGAAGCAACCGTTCCCAAGATCCTCTCCAAGTAGCGATGCTTTTGACATTACTAAAAAAGTGTTTTATAGAGAAGTGTGCGCAGACTGCTGAGAAGCTGCCTGAAGTTTTTGTTTAGCTCAAGATCTTTCCTTACAATGCCAGAGAGCAATTATTGGATCACAGCATGAAAAACACATTAGAACAGACATTTTCTTCAGTCAGAGGTGATTCAGCTATCAAAGTTTCTTTTGTTTCTATTTTGGGGGGAAAAAAAAAAAAAACAACACTGCTTTCAGATGTCTAAAGCTGACGTTTCCAAGGTATATTCATAATGACTGTCAGCTGCAAAGAAGGTCTCTGCAGTTCTTCCCTTCTCCTCACATTCTTTCCTCTCTAAACAACCATGTGAAATGCCTGACAATACTACTGGAAGGTAAGCAGGATAAGAAATTGTGACTAACTAGGGTACACTTTGCCGTTGCAGCTGTAAACAGAGCGTGTGCCATCACCCCTTCCGTTCCCTCATACAGAAGCTATCCATAATATAGAAATGAAATGCCCGGTGGCAGCCAAACCAGCGCTAGGAAAAAAAGGTTGTGCTGCTTCTTCCTGGAAGAGCTCCCCTGGCCGGTGCCGGGGATCAGCTGGGGCCAGGCTGGCTGGCAGGGGCGGCTGCAGAGGGTCACCGGGATTTCTGCACGGGACACGCAGTCTGGGGGCAGCGAGGAAGGTGACGGTGCTGCCGGGAGGACGGGCCTTTCGGGAGAGCTGGAAGCTGAGGGAAAAGCTGAGCCGCAAGCCTGAGGACATTAGGCTGGACATGAAGAAAGGGATGTACTTTACTGAGGGGCTCGGATGCAAGGATGCTTTGGTGCGGAAAAAGAGAGTGTGTCTAAAGGACAACGTTCCGGAGGGAGCAGGGTCTGTAACTCACGGCTTTGGGACAGGCCTGAGAGCAGGCATCCACCTGCGAGGGGGCAGAAAACTGCCACAGTTCCACAAAGCCCAATCTAGAGCTGAGGACTGAAGTCCAGAATATGTTTATATACCATATGGATAAACACGGTGTAAAAAAACAGAGGTAAGACCACCAAATACAGGGCTAACGAGGTACCCTAGCAACTTCTAAACCACAGGTTTTCCCTGAAGTTTGGAAGACTGACAAACATTCCATGGGAAAAAAAATCTGTTGCTCTTCCCACCTAAGAATAATCAGATGGTTTTATGTCAATTAGCATGTGATATGTATCTATTAGTGAAATCTGATTCCATATGCCAACCAGTTATGATAAATGCTATTTCTATGGCTCTCACTATGTTTTTTGAAAATATACTTTCAGCATGCTTTGCTTTCAAAGCAATAGCAGTGGAAGACCGCTACCAAACCACCAGCAGAGTTCAGGGCTTTGTTTAATCATAAACAGATAATGGGAGCTACGACAAGAAACAACTGCTGATGAGTTAGCAACAACATTTCACACAGTATATGTCAGGGGGCACGAAGCAGCTGGCTGGGCAAGATACTATTTTGAGAGAACATTTGGAAACATCGCTTGTCAGTAGCTTCTCTTGATAAGTGTGGCAAGAGCAAAGCGTCACTTTCTTCTAAGCACAACTCCTAAATACACGACACAAAACCATTAAACTGGAAAGAGCCACTGCAAACACTCTGTGCTTTAATTCTGAGAATGATACAGAAAGTATTGTACCCATCCCCATCCCACTGCTTGTGCAACAGCCTGTCCCCCCGGCTCCCCAGCGCACGGACAGCTGAGCACAGGAAAGCTTTCCCAGCAATCCGATCCAAGTGACCAACACAAACTTCCAGGTAGAAGCAAGTGAGTGGAATAATATTTTAAGAAAGTCCCACACAAGTGTCAGACACCTGCAAAAAAGTTTAGGAACTGCGAAACACCCAACAGATCACAGTGGGCTGAATCTTCTTCTACCAACATTCTTTTGAGTTCAAGTTCCAAACTTTAGAAAGCTTGTAAAAACTAACTGGTTCCTTCATTTTAATTAACCTTTTCTTTGAATATAATCGATGAGGACAGGTGCATTCTGCATATAAATTTAACTTTTTTAAAAAGCACTTCACAAAAATATAACAACACTTTTAAAAAAGATGCTGCTCAAAATTGCACACATTCGAAAAAATGAACAAATGCATGCACCCACTTCAAGAGACTAACTTAATTATTAGCTGTTTTAACTTCAGTATTCAAATTAGCAGATTATCCTCAAAACAATTTACCTGAGTCAACATTTGAACTGTCTCTCAGATTATATATACTCATTAATTTACATGAGTGTAAGGCACATGAAGGCATCTAGTTCACTCCAAAAGCACACATTAATGCACAAAAAAAAGTGGGGAAAAAAAAAAAAAAAAACAAACAAAACACACACAAACACAAAACTAAGGTAAGAATTAAGACTGAGTGTACATTGTAGGCTCCAACCATTTCGGTTGGGAGTGACCCCCGAGGTCATCTTGCCCAAAGCCCTGCTTAAAGCAGGGTCTCTTTTAAAAGGTGGATCAAGCTGCTCACAGCCTTGGCCAGTCAAGACTGTCCCTGAGGACGGGGCTTCCCCCCACCTCTTGGCCCCGGTTCCAGCATTACACCACCCACCCTCTTGTGAAGAGCCCTTTCCCTACACCTCATCTGAGTTTCCCGTGCCACAGCTTGCATTGACTGCCCTCAGCTGTAAAGCACTGAGCAGCGGCTGTCCTCCACCTTCCCCCCAGTCGCTCCCTAGATGGCCAGAGACATCCAAAGCACACGCACAAGAGATATCCAACAGTTTTATTTATAAAATTTTACCATTACACATACAGCTCGCCATCATGGCAACGTGACACATGCAAAAAAAGCTGGTAAGAATACTGAGTTTCCACTCATATTTTTATTTAACTTTTAAATTGACATTTCTTGTTTAAAAATTCCTAGAAGCTCAAGTCATAGACCTGATTCATGACTAGTAGCTGTCATTAAGCAGACCCAGGCCAACAGTGTGACATAAAACCTCCTCTCTCGGTTCAGTAACAGAACAAGGCCAGTGTTTACTTCAAGCTGAAATAAGATTTCAAAACACAAGTCTTCAGCTGAGCTGTATCTATTTTGCCCATCGTATGCTTAAATTTCTGTATTTAAATGTGTCTGTCACTAATACAAAGCAATAAAAAAACCATTCAAAAATAAAAACTTCAGGACTGCATTCCTTTAATAACAAAATTTATACTATTTGGATTTCCATTAGTGAATTACTCTTCATTTTTCAACACAGAAGTTTCAGGTATCCGTAAAATTATAACACAGGTATAACATTAATTCTATATATGGATATAGCTGGCTAATCACTATGGGCTGAATGTTTAAGCCAATCAAAAAGTAAAATAGACAGCTTTCAACAGACAAGTAGGAGTTTTGCTAAGCACAGAACTTGCTCCACAAGTTCCCTCTGAAGAGCAAAGATTAGGTAATAAATAAACCACAACCAATACCCACTTGCCTTAGATTACTTTCCTATACCTACATACCTAGTGTTATCACTAACAAGACTGTTACTCCGTAAGAAGGAGGATACGCTTCTTTTGTCGTTTGCATTCAAGACAACTACTCAAGTCTCTGTTCATCAACAGCTTTGCTTTTATTTCCTACAACCAACATGATTTAGGAAACATACCTAACATTGAAGATGTAGACAGCACAGGCTTGTTACCTTCCTAAACACTTCTCTAGAAACATTAAGGGCATTAAAGTTCACGTTACACCACCTTCAAAGGGACTTACAGGTCAAGAACATTTTGACACAGGAATTTCAGAAAACCGCAAAATTTTGATTTATTTCTGCTCTTTGGGATCGAGGGGCAAAAACTGCATCTTCGCAGCTTTCAGTATCCATGCTGGTTTGGAGGGAAAAACAAAACAAAACAAAACAAAACAAAACAAAGCAATAAGCATAAGAGGCGAAAGCTGAAGCCCACAGGGCAGGCCCTCGCCCCCCCCCCAGGGACCAACGCCGGGTGCCCGGGCCCCGCTGTTACACCGCCGGTTGCGGGCACCGCGCAGCCCCGTCCCCGCCCGGGCTCCAAAACCCCGGGCAGGGGACAGACCCCACGGGCTGCCCCCCGGAGCGGGACCGTCCCCCGCACGCTTCGGGTCCCCAAACCGCCCCCCAGACGGGCCCCGGCCCGGCCCGGCCCGGCCCGGCCCCTCCTCACCCTGTGCCGCCCCGCCGCTGCCCCCCTCCCGGCTCCGGCGCTCACGGGCGGAGCAAACCAGCGAGCGGCGTTCGGCAGCATCACCATTAAACATCCGGGGAGGGTGGGGGGGGGAGGAAAAACGAGCGAAAATAAATCAGAAAAGCGGGTGAAAGCGGCTATTTCCACAGCTGTCGCCACGCGCGGTGCGAGGCCGCTGTGGCGGTCCCGGCCCCGCTGCCCACCTTTCACCGCGTGGAACGGCGAGGTTGGACCCCCCCCCACCTCGCCGCCCGGCAAGCACCTCCGCGACGGGGACCTCCTCCACCTCCACCTCCACCTCCTCCTCTTCTTCTTCCTCTTCCTCCTCTACCGCCTCCCCGGCCGAGCCCTCCCGGCGCGGCCGCCGCCGCCGCCGCTGCTCTCCCCCCGGCCCGGCCCTCCCTGAGGGGAGCCGGGGCGATGACGTCACCGGATCAGGCCGACCGGCAATGGGCGCCATTTTGAAACCCCGAAACCTCCCGCGGCGGCAGCTCGGTGCGGCGGCTGCGACCCGCTCCCGGCCGGCGCCTCCCCCGCCCCACCGCTACCGTGCGACATGGCAGGTGAGGCCGGGGGGGGGGAAGTCGGACGCGCTCCGGTTCACGGCGAAGCCGCCGGAACGGGGGGGGAGAAGCCGGCGCGGCGAGGCCGGGGCGGGCGGGGGGGGGAATGTCTGTGAGGGAAGGCTCCGCGCTCCCCTCACCGCCTTCTCGTCCTTCTTCAGGGGTGGCAGGAGGAGGAGGAGGAGGAGGAGGCGGCGGCAACGACTTCCAGTGGTGCTTCTCCCAGGTGAAGGGGGCTATCGACGAGGACGTGGCGGAAGGTAAGGGGAGGGGAGGGCCGCGGCGGGGGGGGGGGGCCCCCGCAGCCGCGGGCACCGGCACCCCGTTTCCCTCCCTCCACATCCGCGTCTCGGCGGGGAAGGGCTGAGCTGCAGCATCTCCCCGGTCCCTGCCCGAGGCTCGGAGGATGGGGGGGGGGGGGTGTTGCAATGACTAAGCTAGCGCCCGGGCTTCCAGGGCGATGTGCTGCTTTTTTATTTATTTATTTATTTTTAGCGGTGGTAGAGCGGGGGGGGGGGGGGGGGGGGGAGAACGTGATAGAGGAGACATGGTGGCTTCCCCCTGTGCTTTAATCGCTAGGGAGAAAAGGTAATGACTATGATAAAACACGGGGGGGGAAAAAAAAAAAAAAAAAAAGGCAAAACCAAAACACAAATGGAGTCTGTCAGGCTTGTCAAGTTTCCCTCTGACGCAAAGAGAGAGCGTGCAGGTCTGTCATTTGTGCTTAATTTAAAAAGTAGAGTTTAAAGGCTTCCAGCAGCTGAGAAGAGATTTTAGTCCTACTTGTTAACATTTGGGAGCTATAAATAGGGATATTTAAATATGTAAAACAGGTACACCTTTACATTTCTCTGAAACTTTCTAAGCACAACGTGTTTTGGAAGGAGTAGAAAATAAGAAATGTTTTAACTGGAAAGAGTGTTTCTCTTTAGTATTAGAAGCAATGTGAAGTTTTACTGTGCTTTGATGAAAAGTTATTTTTTTCCTAAATTTTCTGTGTTCGAACTGTTCAGGCTGACAATACTGTTTAGAAAAGAGTGTGAAGTATGTGCATGATATGCAATCCTGTGCTGCATATTTGATTTTTCCTGTGTTCACTGAAATAGCTGTATTTACTGTATGAAGTGAAATAACTTGCAGTAATGCCAGTGTGTGGTCATCTTGGAGTTTGGATTTTCTTTTTTTTACTGCATGAAGTAAATATTTTTTCTTACTGTCTACTACAGGGAAATTATGCCGACAGTGTTTTCATTTTCATGCCACTTTGTTTGGCATTCCATTTTAAAATAATAGCTATGGGAGGAATAGACTTGAGAACTGCTTGAGAAACTAGTGTTCAGACTCAGTTGTTGTTTTCTTTTTTTTTTTCCCCCCAAATATATTTTGTAACACGTGCTATTGTTCTGAAGTTTCCAGAATTCTTATGTTTTTAAGTAGCTTTTAGGAGTTTCCCAAATGGTCTTTTTTTCTTAGGATCTATCATCGATGTGACTAAAAGTCAGTTCTCCATGTTGCAAAAAATATACTTCTATAAGCACCTTAGTTCCCAGTCAGTTACTGAGCAATGTGAATTTGTGTGGAGCTGGAAAGCTGCTCATTTTTGAAACACCAATATGTCCTAAACCCGGTTAATTATTTAAGTACGTAACAGGACTGTTCAAAGAGGAACTTACATTACTGATGAGACAGCTCTGCCTCGGTGATGTCTTTGGTTAGAGAGAGGCAAGTTCTCTGTTTTGAGTAACTAGGAGTAGTAAGGGGAAATAGTGATGATAATGCTCAACACTTTTACACTAGATTTTCCCAGTTGTACCTTATTAACGTGACTTTTCCTGGAGTGAGGACTTCAGATTGTGCGTGATGCTACTACATAATGAGGAATTTAATTTTCTTCGTAGGGCAATTAATATAAGTAATCATTCAGCACCTGGTTTTGCAGAATTGGTACTAGAGTTTCATTTTCGTACTGGAATGCGAGAACTACTTACAGGTTTTTGTGACTTGACTCATTGTCTTTCTTTTGGTTTTTGGGCTTCCCCTCTGCCCCCATTAGGTTTTTTGCATTGGAATTGGAATTAAATAAAGAAAATATGCAGTTCAATTCCTAATAATTGCCTGAATTTGAATCAACGGTATGCAAGAAGAGTGCAATTACATTGCTAGATTTTTGGCCCCAGTTATGAAAATATTTACTCATTACCATTTTTAAAAACAGCTTTTACCAAACTGCACATCTAAACCTATTTGATGGGCGGCCATTGCCTTGAAATAGCCTTGCTGCAAATACTGCATAAAACCACTGAATTTCATGCACATTTTTGTGATAAAGAAAACTTGCTATTTCTGTAAATTTTTTTTTCCCCCCCTCTTTTCTGTTTTGTGAAAAATAACCTCTATGGAGGAAATCTGAAAATGACAGCATAAAGTATCTGTCAAACATATTAAATGCAGACTTACTTGCTAAATGTTCTTACAGGCAGTTCACTCAGTAGCTGAAATTACAAAGCCTGAGAGTCAGGCAACTTAACTAAAAAGTCACTTTTCTTTTTGAAGTGCAATTCTAGAATGTTTTCTATTCAATAGTTGTTTCTCATGTGTATTGCTTTAGCCAAAATATGAACACGGCTATGACAAATTGCTATGGTTGATCTGCAACTGCCATCTCCATTCCCAGGCATTTTTCTAACTAGGTCATTTATATAGAAAATAGCTTTGTCTCCTCTTCATCTTTTTGGTGTATTCACTTTCTTCACTTTGAAATCTGTACAATGCTCTGTTTAAATAAATAGAAGAGCAGTGTTTATATGACCAATCTGGCCGTTTCAAAAAAGACCAGGAAAATATGCCAGTTACTGAAATACAGTTTTCTAAAGCAGAAAAGTTTCATTGGATCCAAGGAGAAGGATTGGAAGACAAAACAGATATTGAATAAAAGAACTGATACTGAGAATTGCAACAAGCTTGCTTAAAAAAAAAAAAAAGTAATTTAAAAATGTGTTGTAATTTTGTTGTTAGCTTAAAACCATGTGAGTACAAAAACCATACTGATTGCCTGTGAAACTTGTTATTCTTGGTTTACCTTTTTTTGGTAGAAATTACCTTTCTAAATACAGGGAGGTTTGTTTTTGTTTTTAAATAATGCTGTCTGAGAACTAGTCAGTTTTGTGTTTTCGGCATTTTAATTTGTTTTGCATGTTCAGAAATGTTCTGCTTTGGGGTTTTTAGGCAAGCAAAATATAAAACAGTTTATTAAATAATGTACAGATAGGCCCAAATTCCCTTGGGCCAGCTGTTCTGCATACAATCCACTTCTAGATATAATTGACAATATATTATATATATATATCTTGAGAGAGTGGGTGCCATAAATCTTCCTGACTGACTTGTGCTAGTGGCAAGTTAGAAATACTGGGAAGAAGGTCTGATCCTTGTCAGAATGTGAGCCTGTATGCTGTGGAGGTCCTGGGTTTCCCGTTATTGACACCAGGATTTCTTTAGGTTTTTCAAAGCGGTCGCTACGGGGTTTTGGATTGTGATGAACTCTTCCTTTCTCTAAATGCTGTTTTCATTTGGCACTGGCCAGATGCAGCTTCCTCTTTCAGGTCTAAGCAGCTTTAAGGGTATGGTTACTCCACTAAATGAATCAGGTACTGCTTTCCTCTTGGAGCTTCATCAGCGTAAGTCTTAACCTGTTTCAAGTGTTGCATTTGAAACCTTTTTTGAAGCTGCTGAGTGCAGAGCCTAGTCTGGCACATAAATGCTGGACGCAGCACCCTTCTGTAACAGACAGGAGCTGCTCTGAAGCTCCCGGTCGTTAACTTGGGGATGAACTGCTGTAAGGTATTTCACATGAGCAAAACTGGCGTTCTTCAGAAGCAGTTATCATTGGCTTTCAACATACTCATCTTGTATTGGATTTGCTACTTGTTAAGAAATTTTGTATCTCTATTTAAAGGTCAAAGAAAAGTACTGGTTTTGTGTTGTTTTTTTTTTTTTTTTTTTTTTTTAAATTCTCCAAATAGTAATTGGTATCGACAGCATTGATAAACCAAAAGATATGTTGTTATCATCAGTTCAACGGATTGTTTACTTCTCCTTTTAAGGCTTGTGCTAAGTCAGTCACATCAGAAGTTTGTCAGAATGCAGAAGACAAGTAAAGAAAACCATGATCTAATAAAAATATATTGGAAAATATGCATCCTGTAATTGTTCTCGAGTCTGGATACAAGTGATTTAAAAACACCCTTCTTAGTGTTAAATTGCCTTTACAAATCAATGATTTAAAAATGTTCTAATGTGCTGTTCAGGAATTTAACTGGCCTATTCTCACTGGTTTTAAGCAAATTCTGGCATGATTTCAGAGTTAAAAGAAAAAAATACTCCAGAAGAGGTTCGGCTATTTGACATCTGGTTAAAATTGCATGGAAGAAGTACCAGAATTGGTTGCTATATTTTAAGGTTGTTTGGTTTTTTTCTATAAGAACTGGAAAATATGGTAATAACTCCATTATTAGCCATATGTATTATTTCCTTTCACTATAAATAATTGGCTATTCCTGAAGATGTCACTTACTACTGAAGTGAGGCAGAGAGTAAGCTTTCAAGCTGTGTTTTGTTGGTTCTTTTCCCTTGAAAAACTGTTTTACCATAAACGGGACTTTAGATGCCTGTTCTTTTGCCCTCTCTAAAACATAATGCACTTATCCCTTGCTTTATGGTGATACGTAGTATCAGGATTTGCCTTGATTCTTCCTCAGTTCACCACATCTCTGCTCTCCAAAGGACTGGTAGGGATATTCTGAAGAGCCGCCGTTTCTTGCAGGGACCAAAGATTTTTAAGGTTTCCTTGATTTTCCCAGCTTTGTATGTGTTGTATATGGTGTTGTGTATGATACATATGATGACATAATACTGACTTGGGGAAATGTTTTGGTGGTTTTTAAATGTGGGCAGAAATAATATTCTGCAAACAGTTTTGACCTGAGCACATACTATATACTGGTTTCCCATTGGAGAAAGCAGTGTTAATGTTTCCGGTAGACCACTTTAATCTCAAGTCTTCATACAATCCATGGACCAAGAATTTGTTTCCACCCTTTATTCCACAACACACTATTACCTGAAGATTTTGTTCTCAGCTAGTAGTATTGAAGAAGTGAACTTTTGAATTCCAGTTCTGTCAGATAACAAAGAAAGCAGGGTGTTATGCCACTGAAAAGTAGATTGCACTATCTTACTATATATTAACATATAAGCAACT